AGTAGTAGTAGTAGTAGGAGGTCTGCGACTTGCTACACCACGATAGTGGTGGCTGTTGTAGTCGAGCCATGGCCTTGCACAAGCTGGGCCGTCTTTCGCAGCATCTTTCACAGATCTTTCGCGGAAAACCTACCCCCAAAAATTGCCACACTCTGACACTGAGGCTGGTTTGATAACACTCGTTGCTGTAGGCAAGACCTGCTCACAAGTTTGGCTTGGCCTGTTCCTGGCCGTAGAATCGCTGAGGCAGCAAGTGCCCATGCAAGTCCATGGTTTCCAAGCCTCAAACCCTGGCTTTGGGTGTTCTGCGCCACTGGGCAGTAAAGGGTACACCCACAGCATGATAGCACATTCTTTACGGGTCTCATGTATCCCAAGTCTGTTGTGTGAAAACTTTCGTGGATTATTGCTTTCCTTTCGCAGACCCAGCGCAGATCTTTCGCGGACACATTGGTTTACAAAAAAACGTTTTGTGTACATCCCAAGACAAGGACCTTTAGATCAAATCTTAATGTGACAATAATGTGCTAAGACCGCCAAGAGCCCTTGCAACCACACAGACACACACACACACACAAACAGACATGCAAACATGCCCTGTGAAGGGTGTCGCAAGATCGGGAGCCGTGGCAGCAAGGGACACCTGAAACTGTGCACACTAGACCCTGGACCCGATAAATCCCAACACCTTCCAAGCTTCACAACGACCTCGTCTTGCGAGCCGGCTGCCACGAAGCGGCAAATGGCCTTTGGGTCTCGCTTTCTTGCTGTTCAGATGTTCAATAACCTTCCATGGCAAGCTGGGACATGCAACGTGCTCTTCCGATCCTGACCCTCCCGTCACAAAGTGCCATACTGAATCTGAGCATGCTCATCTCACACTATCTGCAGAAGCATGGATGCCCGGTCACATCGTTGGACTTCCGCACTCGTTCGCAGAGACGGCCTGCCAAACTGTGAAGGAGAGAATGACCAGGCAGTGACGTTCGATGTTTTGGCGCTTTTTTGATTTTGCTTGCAACTCGCAATGTTGAACCGAACTGATTAGCACGTCGAAACTGTACGTAGCCAAAGCACTCGCTTCAGCACATCACCACACGAACATAAACGAGCATTACCTAACTGGCCCGGGACGGCAGGCGACACAGTTTCTCGTGCCAACAGTGAGTTTTTTTGCTGAAATTCAACCTGCCCTCTTTGCCGTATGGCTGATGCCTAAACTCTCGTGCTCACAGCTGGAAGTAGCGCAGAGGCACCAGAGACAAAACTTCATGTCAAGCATGCTCATTTCGAACACTTGCACACCCTAGGATTCCAACGGAGTTAAACCTTGTGCACACGCTTTTTTGGACTTGAGTTCCAGTAATTTCTTGAGTTATGTTGATGCTGCACTTCTTTCAACTTAATTCGTTTTCTGCCGTACTTGTGCGGCATACTTAGAGCCTCGAAGACTCGGCCTCCCACGGCCTACCTATGTTTACATTTACGAGCATCCCTTCCGCCTCCGAGATCATGACCAGAAGGAAAGCCACAGTGTTGGGCACTTTAATTTCGGAGGCGGACACATTACTAATGGCCTGTAGCGATAAGTCCAAAACTTGTGAAAAGATTATCCTGCTCATTGAGTTTCAAATGTGCGCGTATCGGGGGGATCCAAAAATGAAAAGTTTTTTGACGCGCAATGTCTGAATCATAGAATTTTGCTCTTGCCTTGTTGGGCAGCCTGGTTTCGCTACATTGTTCACACTACTAAGTCTTACTATTGCCTCTATCACTATTCTTTCTATTCCAATAACTATCGGGGGGATCTCCTCAATGCTTCATCTCTTACCACCGAGTTCTTCACACGCGGCCTTTGCTTCCCTTAAAGATCTTGCCGCCATCTTTGCCATTGAGGTCCTGTCCAAAGTCTCAGAGTTTCTGTAGGGTAACACAGGTGCTGAACCCAACATGACCCCATTCGCTTGATCCATGTTCTCCGTGTCCGTGAAACACTGCAAGAAGCCCTCGGGTTGGTCCTTCTTTGCGATCACCTTTTGGCCCTTTGGGTACCTTGGCTGAGACAACTACAAACGGAAAGAGCGATCGACGAGGGCGGTGATTTGGAGCTGCTAGGCAGCATAGACTCGCACACGAGCGAAACCTGCACCTGGCATTGCTTACGTATGCGAGATCGTACTCAACAACTACGCCCGAAAGAGCATGTTACAAGGGCGACAGAATAGCGTTGACATGACACAACAGGACCGACACCGCAAAACCATTGAGAGCGCTATGGACTACTAACTTGAGGCAATGGCCCAGACCTGACAAATTAGGAGAGTAAGGCTGCTTGCGAATTGCCCTGCCCAAGAGAATGCCATCTCAGTATTGCAACAGCCGATTGACATGTCAAGAGTAAGCACTGAACAACACCAGCGACTGTTTCGTCATACCATGCAATTCGGCTATTACACTTACTACACAGCAAGCAACAGCAAAACCTAGAACGGCACCATGAACAAAAACCAGCTGCAAAAGCACATGTAGAGGAGAATGGTGGGGACTTGAAGCTTCGGGGTCAAGGTGTAAACGACTTCCATGGTTGGTCTTCTACGAAAGAGCATGCGACCATCTTACCTGCTCAGAATGAAACATGCTGCTGACATCAGTTCAGCCATGTTACCCCATCAGCGCGCAGTGCTTGATCGGAACGTCATGGCGCCTTCAGCTTGTTGCATTGGTTCCAGTTCCAGGCCCTTCTCCACCCCGTCGCGGCACTTCGGACACATGCTTGCTCCAGAACATCCATGCATGCCTTCAACCTTTGAGATTCTAAAGGCAGCAGTCGTGTTCTGAAACATGCGCCTGTCGACCGAGTTGATGTCGGCTAACGTGACGATTGAGTCCATGGGTAGACCACCATGCACGACGAAAACCTGCCGGCGAGTGAAAGCCAGTCTCTGACTCATGCTCCTCATGCTGTTTCCCATGCTGTGACTTAGATACAGAACCGTTGCCATACGAGGCGGAAGTTGCTCTGTCTGCAAGGGCTTATCATGGTGGACGATAGTGACTGAAACGCGATCGCAGGCTATGTCCGAAACGTAGTGCGCAACAAGCGCAGTCACGTGTTTGTAATCTGTCCATCTTGTCTTGCTAACCGGAAGACTTGCAGGTTGTTTATGCCCTGCCGACAGACCCTAGAGCACCTCTTGCATTTTGAGGGGTTCTGTTGTCAAACACATCCCAGTTAAAACAGTTTTTGGGTGCGGTGTAATTCAGTTAGAGGAAAGGCAAGGTGTATAGAAGGGTGCACAGCATTGCGTCCGACCGAAGAGACGCCTCGCCGCCGATCACGTGACACAAAGGCAGCCTGGAGTTCTTCCGGACTCTTACGAAGTTCTGGGGGCGGCTCCCTGATCAGTTCGATGTCGGGGAGGGGAACTGTGCAAGACTACGGGGGGCTTCCAAGCCTAGTGAGTTTTGGACTGTGCATGGTACGGAGGTGCACTAGGAGCACGAAGCCCAGCGACAAATTACTGCCTGGCAGACCGAACACCGAAGTTGACAAAGTCACCCATTTGCGCCTGAAGCTTCATCGGACAAAGCAGCCAGATAAGCAAACCCAAACCTCCGAAAAAATACGCATAGCACACCAGGTTGCTCTTTGAAACTTCTCCGGCAAAGGTGATACCTGATAGAGGGCTGCGGTGTTTTCTGCTCATTCCGAGGCGGAATGAGCTGCCAACGAGTGCTGCTGCCGCACGGGCATGTGCCACGGTCAAGTTGCACATCAAGGTGATTCTATGGATAGATTTCGAGCTGATATCTGAAAGAACCATTGAGAAGCGCTCTCATGACTCGCCAACATCGGACCCTCGCCGTCGCACAGGGACACAGCCCAACCCTACATTGTTCGGGATCCGAACTCCAACGCATGCTCCACCTATCAAGACCATTCTCTCAACTTCGTGCCTGGGGCCTAGGACCCTGGCCAAGCCAAGGAGCATGGGCACTGCCTCACCCGCAAAGGCACGGGTGCAGTGAGAATGGACAAAACCATTGTCCGGCCTTGGGGTTGGACCCTGACCCAGGCATGGGCAACTCGGGCTCTTGGGGAAGACACACACAACATTGCGCACCCGGGGCATTAGATTTCCGCTTCAGCTCCAACTCTCCCTGGATTTCCTAGCTGAGGAAAAGATCCTGGTATCGCATGCAAGAAGAGTTAGCTGACGAAGGGAAGGGCAATTGGGGACCACATGCGAATGATGCTTGAGAGTATACCATATCACAGACCAACCTGCCGGGATGCAGCTGATTCTGCGACTGATCCTCGTGATTTCCGCGGTTGAGGAAGACCTGGGCTGCTTTGACGACAAGGTCTTACTGAAGAAATGAAATCCAAAGCAATCTGGAGCTCTGTGCAGTACAACCACAAATGCTTTCGGCCAGGCCCCCTTGCAAAACGGAGGTGCAGAATGCTGGGGCCCTTATTATCCCTGCGGCGCCTGAGCGGCTACGCGTCCTCAAAGGAAGCCACCTAGCTGTCCGAAGCCTCTCGGAAATCCTGGACGATAGACTCACGCGACCCTGAAGCTTGCAACTATATACAGAAACTCCATCGGGAACAAACCTTCCAAAACGAAAGATCGCCAAGTGATTTCGATTCGCTTTCTTCAAAACATGTGGCTGCCGTCGGGAACTTGATCTTCAGTGCATATAGCAGCAGCAAGACCTGGCCAGCATGGTTTCCTCATAACTGTGCAGACTACAGTAGATCCTAGAGTGGGGCCGGTCCAGCCAGTTTTCCCGAGCGACACAGCAACATCAATGCTGTCCCGCAAGTCGATGCGATCGTCACTTTCGAAGCCAGATCACGCATGTTAACACATTGTGCGAGTCACTCAGCAGAAAGCCATCACTCATAGTATCAGTCTGCAACCTCTACAGCGCAGTACCCACTGTGAACACCAACATTGCCAACCGTCTCACTGATCAGCCTCCGGCCCCCAGGTACCGCGATCAACGAAGTCACCGTTGAAGAGAAAGCGGACCTCAGCAACAACTCAACCCTGCGACGCTTTCTTAGCCAGACTACCATCGCTAGGGCTGTCTGTTGCTGGCTGATGCCCCAACTTTGTTGTACATGTTTGGGTGCAAGATTTGAGGAATGTTCAACCGACACAGGCAGGTGACCGCTCCCTTCGGTCCTGGCGACGGCTCGCCATGATCCTGCCCCAGGGCGTGATGCAGTTCTGCCTCTCATCCAACCGCTCTGCCGAATCTTCCCTTGACGGTGGGAAACCCTGCAGGGGTTCAGGGCACAGAATGTTGTACAACCGTGCAGTACTATGCTCCTCACTGAAGGCCTTACAAGCTCTTGCAATTTGTGGGGGCTGCTTCGGTCCTCGAGCAAATGAATCAAGTCGCCGAAGTGACCGTGCAAATCCTAAGTCAACTGTAGAGGCTCCAGCTTCGCCCGACATCGAGCTTCAGAAGGCTTTCAGAGCAGTGCTGCTTCTTGACATAGTGACTAGATACGATAATCGAACGGGCACATCGATCTCTGGATTCCAAACCGGAAAAACAACTGGCAAGAGTCGGGCAGAACAGCACGGGCTCTCTACTGACGACCCCTCATGAGCAAGGAAACTGAAAGGTTCGTGGCTGAAGGGCAAGGCATTCAGATCATCTGACAATCAGGCATGCCTTTCTTGCTTCCTCGCGGCTTTTCTAAGAACATCCAACGAATTTATTGAAAAGTGCGACCTGGGTTTTTGCTCTTCAGATTCAAGAACATGTGACCAGAAGAGATCCCGTTTTTTCGAATGGCACCGCATGAAGAGACGCAAGCATTCGTGCTCTAATTCTAATTCCCTGAAACCAACGGGCATGTCCTAAATTTCAGAAACTGCCAAGTGGCGCCGACGATCACAAAACGGGACCCCACCTCTGGTGCCTGGGCTGAGATAAAGCGATTGAGGAACATGCTTCCGAATAGCACGGGTAAAGGAATTGTATGAGACAGAGCTCGAGAGTACATTGTAGTGGCAAGGTAAAGCTTTGTAGCACTAATCTTCCGAATTGAACTTGGGTTCCGCATCGCCAAACACTGCCAATACTGCTTTCGCCTGGCAAAGTGGTTTGAACAGACTACGGTACTATATGGACTTGTCCCTTCGGCAATTCGACACGTGATCCTCCTTGCTGAGCCCAGCTCTTGAAAACCCCCACTGATTATGAGGCAGCTGAAGCGATCAAAGTCGAGAGCTTGTGAGTTGTAATGTGCTGCCACGTCACGGGCACGTGAATGACGTTTGGCTGTGCAGCGTAGTGCACGATGACCTCACTTGGCAGTTCGAACTGTTGGAGGCTTTTCCCGTTGCGGACAAGTCTTGTGGCAGGAGCAATCGGTTAATTACGGAGCCCGAAAGTCCTAGATGCATCATGTAAACAAAAAACGAAAAGAACACTGGGGGAAGGAGCAGCGAGAACGAACCGGTCGTGCTTTCGGCAAAGGTCTCAGGATGGTGAAACCAACTAAGTGGGCTCACACCAGTCTACCTAATTGCTTGAATACCGGAGCTTCTCATTCCGACAAATGTGCAATTGTATTGAAGCGGAATCTCATGTAGCACAGTCATCGAGTTCTAAAGGTCTACGCCGATGAGGCCTGTTGGCCACATCCCCACTGGCACATGAACGTGAAAGCTTGGGGATGAGCCTCCTGAAAATCGCAGAACTCACTTTTAAACAGCAAAGGATGAAAGACGCTTCGTTGTACCAGGCGCAGCCAAGACTCACTTCGAAGGATTTTCTTACACACCTGCCGAGGGCTCGGGCTCAAGGTCGCATGCATTGACTTGTCCAAGCATTGTAGAACAATCACAAGGCATCCGTCACCAAAATATGCCCCAGCATGATAACCGGTGTTTTTCCGGCTGACCACTGCTTCCAACGTGTGCGGTGCTGACGTAGCAGCCTCACTACAAGTGGTGTGTCGATCTCCGGCACGCCCCACGAATTCATGATGCAGACTGCAGGGGTTTGTCTGGTGCTGACTGCACTTGGTGCCTCAAGGGTAGGCAGCCGCCTCTGCCGTAAGTCTTGAATGGCCTGGCAGTTGCTGCTGAAAGAGTGTACAACAAGCGCAGAAACCTCGCGGAGCACCTTCCTCGCGAGAGTCCGGGCGAATGCAATGACTGTAGCGGTCCCGCTGTTTAGCAGAAGGCCAGACAACTCTGTGTTAAAGAGACGCCCGCACATGGACACTGCTCGAAAAACATCTTTGCATCTACAATACTGCTAGCGGCCAGCGCAAGAAACTCAGCTGAACTTACGTGGATTCCCACCAATCCCGAAGGTCTGGGGACCTTGGTAATGTCCAAAGGCGGCAGCTTCCAAGAAGACTCATCACGAGGATCCCACTCCTGCACCGACTGATGAGCCTTAAACACCTCGAAGATCTCAAAGTACCCCCCCAGCCACAGGCCAGATTAACTCGAGGCCGCTGCCTACCATAGGGCATCAACCCACCCCTGAAACTTCCAAACAAAATGGCAACCATGAACGTCCCGAAAGTTCAAGGCTTTGGGTACGAAGGGCTTTCGGTTCCTATGGTGTGTTTAGTAGCTGTGGGGCAGCTCGTGATCTCACGAGCTACAAGCTGCTGCAAACTTGTAGTCCTCACGCCTTCGAAGGGTTGCTTTTGCATCTCAACTCTGCAAGCTATCCGCATGTCATCGACGAGAGCGGAGCGTCCATCCCGACATGTCTATTTCAACAAGACCCCAGGCGTAGACAAAACGCTTCGTTTCCGTGCATGCTTCAATTTAAGAACTTTACATCCGACATTCATTGTGCCTCCAAGGACGAGCATTTTCACAGGCTTCTGACGCCACGTTTTGTGGCTGTACAAACTGTCCTACGCTTCTTCCCTGAGTCAGCTTCTAAACTGCTTTAAACCAACACATGCAGTGCTATCATTCTTTCAGAACCTCTCCAACCGCAAAACCCTAACCCGCTGACGCCAAAGGCAAAGGGTCCTCCTCATCCTCGTCGAGATCGGAGGCGACAGAAGACAGGTCATCGCCAGCCTTGCAAAATAGCAAGGGGGATAAATGAAAGCTCGGATGTTTGCGAAGTCTTCCGACGTGTCGAGGCCTCGAGTTTGGAAGACCTGTAGAACATAAAGCTCATTAGGGGCTCGAGCTTGTGTGGCTCCCAGCCGTCATAAATCGGCCCGAAGCTGCTGTTACTACTATACGGCTGTGTAAATGTTGCAATATGGCACGAACAGTATTTACACGTTTTGATGTTGAGAATCAGGCTTTTTGTCAGATTCCGTCCGTCAGATAGTATATATGTTGA